GGGCGTTCAGTTGAAGCCCCGCTGCCCAATCACCACCCTCGCCTCAGGTTCGGCATTTGCGACCTCTCCAAGGATGCGTGCGTCCTGGAGGCACGGCGGTCGAACTGCGCAAAGTCGGCAGGCCCCCCACCCCCGGGCGGCGGTAAGATTTGTTACAAGGGAGAAAGAAACACGTCATGCAAAGGGTACCCACTCCTGAGCGAGTGTATGTGCGAATCTTTTCCATCCACTGAAAAAATGGTGTAGAGTCTCCGATTCGAAGCGATGAGCCTTCAACGCATAAGTCCCTGGGCGGGGCAAAGCCGTCTCACGACCAGTCTGTCTGAATTCTCAATTGCTCCACGCTTGCCGCTCCGCACTTGCTTCCTTCTTCGGCGACAGCATTTGGCTGTCCGCCAGAGGTTGGACTATCTTCGAAACTGGTGGGGGCGCATCGAAAGACAGTGAGATACTGGTCGCAACCTAGGCCCTTGGGCCCTTGGGTGGCTGGGGGACGAAACTTGCATGACCTTCCCTGTGGCAGCTTGTGCGCCTCACCAAATGTGCACGTGCTTGTTGCTGTTTGTGCTTTTTCTGATGCCAAAATGTTATTTCCTCCGTCCCATATTAAATGCCGTCTACTTGAGAGAGAAATCTCGTCATGAAAACGGCACATAAATTACAAATACGTGCCAGAATCGGAAAGACTGTGTCTCAAAACCCTCAAGTTCGAATTTACAAGAACAAAACATTCGGTCCTCAACCCTTTGCGCTGGCCCCCAGAATTGCCTTGACACGGTCCAAAACATGCGCATTCAATTTCCGTGGTCTTGCAGACCCACCTGATTTGGGAGCGCTTCTGCGCCTCGGATTTGCAACGTCAGTGGTTGCCACTGTTGCGGCAAAGGACGAGGTCCAGCACAAGGCATAGAACTTGCCGAACACACTCAAACATGCGTTTATCCTGGTCTTAGGTGGCCATAGTCGCAGCATTGACGATGCTTGAAATCGCCGCTTTTCTCGATCTCCGATTGGCGGACATCCAGCGAGCGCAAAGTCAATGTCTACAGCCTTGAAGCCTGGCCTCAGTGCGTGCTGTCGCTCCAAGGCGCTTTGGTAGCGTTTCTCGGATATTTCGTCTCAGTTGATGCTTGAATCGGGGCTTTGCGTGGGCCCCTAAAATGGAAGCCCAAAATAACCACTGTCTGTGGATAGAATGGCCGATGCTTGTGTGTGGTACACAATCCATGGGAACCTAGCAATTATCCATCACTCCAAAAGACCCGAATTCGCCTTTGTGGCCATCTTCCTTGCACCCAATTCTGTAAACTTCCGAAACAAGGACAAATCGCCATTCCCGTAGCAATGCCCAGTTCACCAATTGTTCGTGCTATATTGGGGTGGCAGCCGTTACCATCTCTGGCTCCTTGTTAAAAGGATTTGGAGACCTCCCTCAGTTGCCTTGATGGCGGCGAAGGAGCTCGAAAAGCACTGGTCGAAAAAATCTAGGGTGCTGAACGTCGCTGCGATCCACTATATCAAGACTGAATTGATGCTGCACGCCACGGCGAGTTCGATGATCAAGGCATTCGAAACGTGTTTTCTATCGCCGTACCACTTGCAAGCACCCTAGTGAGATCCGCTCTAAACGGCGTGAATAGTTTTGTAAAAAAGGGTCTGTTGCGCTGCCGCGAAGGCGTGCTCCTCGAAACATCCAAAAACGGTTGTTTTTCGCGCAATGTCCGAAAGCAACCCTTTTCTGGCCAGAGGAACCTTGCTGCAAAGCACTGCCAAATCCTCAAAACTTAATTGATCGACTTGAAATTTTGATAGCGTACTTCAACTTCACAAGCACAACTTTGGGGTGAATTTCGCTGGAAATTGATGTAGGAGCGATGGAGAAGTAACGCCTCAAAGTCATAGACGACAATTAATATGGGACGGAGGAAGTACATTGCATTTCAGTTCCCAGGTGCCTTCCCCATCCTATCAAAAGATATGTGGACCTTGTGCCACCTACCAACGAAGTGCAAGGCGATACAGCGGCCCCAAACGTGTTCTGTTGTTGCTGATTAGGGGATGTGCAGCTGAATGACGTAAGCACCACAAAGTGTTATGGCTCAATCTGGTGCTGGCGCGATTTCCGATACAAGTTTAAGACGTCGCGGCCCGGGCCAGAATGGAGCTGGTGCTGCTACGGCAGCCGCTCAAGAAAATGGAAAAAATGGAGTAAACCAACGTTTTGCTTGTGTGTCTGGCTTGCTTTTGACAACAAATCAGTTATGAGCCTCAACTGTGGTTGGCAGCCACCAAATTCTGCACTAGCGTGGCCACTCTTGTCTGAAACCGTCGGCTGTTTGTTCCAAGCAGGAAATGGTATGAGCAACGAAGGGCATTTTTGATGCAGCTGCATTCAAGGGACCCCAGGCACTTTGTGTTTGCCATGGGTGGTGACACTATGGCCTATGGAGCATGCACTGTGCTGCTCCTTGCCGTGGCGGTTTCTTCCCTGCAGATGAGTAGCTAAAGCACCTGGGCATCTTGGGCCTTCGACCAGCAGAGCACGTTGAGTGACGACACGGCATGTCACTCCTTCCAATGCAGCCATGTGATATTCTGCTGCAGAGGAGAAGAGCAACCTTCGGACGAAGGGCCAAGCAGTTCGAAAAAGGAACTTGAACTATTCCAAGAGCTTCACCCTTTGGTGGACAGACATGAACGGGTTTTCATGGGATGGCACATGAGCACTCTGTGTGGGGCCCCTCCTTTGCGCCCCCAGGCACCTGTTCCTCTTCTGCGAATTCCGCTGTCAATGAGTTTGCTACACTTCGAGATGCGCTTGAAATGGGAAGAGCTGGCCAGGAAGTTGACGTTTGCCATATCGAGTCAGTGCGAATGAGCGCGTCAGTGAATGGCTCGTTCGGGGACGTCCATGGGGTGACGGACATCAATGGTGAGAACAGTTGAGGAGCAAAGGGCACCAATGCGGAGCAGGATTTCTGTGCGCTGGGCAAACAGGAAGTTCAGACGGTCCCGGCCACGTCTGGCACTGTCAGAAATGAATCTGTTGACCTGTTGTTCAACCTGGATGGCTGCGATTCCCTTCATGGTAAATTCCATGTACTTAAACAATGCACTGGCAATGTTTCCAAGCAATTTGCAATCCAATACCACCCGTCTGTCGTCTCACAGCCTCCGATCAGGAAAAGATTGCAGCATTTATAGCAAAAGACAAGAAGGTGATGCCAGTGCTTGTTGGATCTGGAACACTGATCATGGCGGTCTTGATTCCCACATTGCTTTTTGGCTACATCTGCACGAATTGTCGCCGCCCTTCCAGGAGAGAAAGACCTAAAACAGATCTGATTCATATTTTTGCAGCGCACACATTGGCGTTGATCAACCTCCCGTCAGATGCAGGCTTTATTGCCGCGGCTCTCCTGCTGGACCGTAGTTTGCTGGATGTAAAGGAGGAACTTTAGTTTGAGCCAAGGGATCGGGGGATCCATTATCTAGTGACTGCCATTTCGAGTGCAGCACTCTTGCTGGCGTCCCGGCTGTACGTACGGTATATACCGTATGCTCATATCTGTGCGTTGAATCCTCAATAGCGAGACATTGGGGTAAAAAGGTGAGCTTGAAGCCTAGATCCTTGACGCTTTTCAGCACTTGTGTAATGGGGGATGAGCGCCAGCGACTGGTTTCTGCTGTTCCCCGGACTTTTGGTTTTGGGCGTTGATGTGATGAAGCACCTCCCTTGGGGGGAGCAGATGCCCTTGGCAGGAAGAACAAGGCTGCAGAGGAGGAATTTCCCCATGCACATTTTCCGGCAGGCGCCTTTGTGGTGGCCTCAATGGAGGATGCGTTGCACACAGCTCTGCAGCTTGCATTTGTGGCGGTCACCGAAGGTGGTGACGGCTGGGGTATCATGGGAGCTATTGCTTCCTTGACAGTGTCGGTGGGTGAAGCCATGGTCAGATTGGTACTGCCCTTGCTGATGAACCGCCTTGTTGGTGACCCTGTTCGCGATGACCACAATGGCGTTTGCAAACAGTGCTTACGTTGTAGCCGTGCTAATGTTGAAGTGATATTCCTGAATGGACCTCTTATTGAGGCAATATGTTTTACAGGAGCAATGCGCGCCTTGACTGGCAAGGTGTCTCTGAGCACTCTGGTGGATTCGGACAGCCCGATGATTGTCTTTTGTTTTTTGTTTTTTTTAATGTCACAATAAAACTGCAGGTTATGCCATTCATGGCTTATTCATCTGCTGATACCCATTAAGATCTGATTGACGTAGATTGTCAATATCATGGCAGCCAATATTGGCTACTATGATATACAAATGTCAGCTATAAAATATGATAGATAAGTGTATAGTAATATGACACATATATGATACATGAATAGGTAATATATAAACACATCAATATGATTACCCCACATGACAAACTTTGTAAGAGACTGGAACACAACATGATATATTCATGGTGCGTACAATGTGTTCCGGCAAAAACGTAGGGAGGCCTGGGAAGCGCATGCAGTACAAATGCTAGAATCACGGCCTTCCTATATTTCAGGCTCTAATTTTAGGACCAGAACACGCGACTGTTCACAGATTGATTCATCAACGCACGTCACCATGCGTCAGCGCGCACGAAGTGACGCAACCCGCGACCATTGGCAGGATATTTGGAGTATCCGCTTCGGGAAAATCAGAGCAAGCAAGTATCCAAAGTACCGCGCCTTGAACCAATCTCTCCAAAGAGTTCCTCCAGGAGTCCCAAGACGACTAACTATTACAAAGGCAAATGAAACGAGGCACAGCGGTTGCAGAAGTACACGCGGAGACACGTCCAGCTCATTTTATGCTCAAGGGGCTGAAATCCCGCTTTGTGAAAATGCTCGGCGCAAACAGCTCCACATCCATCACACAGTCGCAGCAATGCAGACCCGAAGAGCTGTCTAGAGCCCCACTTATTGTACATTGCGATACAATATTGATGCACAATGCCCCCCGCCTATTTAAAGAGAGCCTCGATCTGGGCCTCCTCACCACCAGACTTGCACCGGCCGTTGGGGCACGCGTTCTGGCTGAGGCACGCGCAAATGATATCAGCGGCAGTGTTGCCCCCAAGGTCTCCCAGCGAAACATCCGCCCCGCGGACCACCAGCACGTTCGCCACACCCGGGTTTCCGAAATAAGTGGCGGCCATCAGTGGCGTGTACTTCTCGGTGTCCTGCCAGTCGATGTCCGCGCCGGCGTCCAGCAGCATGTTGGTGATCCTGTCGCTCGACGCCGCGGCCACCTGGTACACGCATTTCGCCAGTCATTGTGAGGCCAAGTGTAGACCGCTGGCAAGGGACACTGTTTCGCTGTTTGATCTCAGCAGAGACACGTGACATGACCAATGTGTCGAATTCATTCACGTTGCCTGCACGGATGTTCGTTCATTCACCTGGTACACGAAATGCAGGGCCGGCCTCTTCTGAAGGTTCACCGCGCTGTTGGGGTCAGCCCGGGCATCCAGCAGAGTCTCCACCACCTGTGGGTGTGATCCGAATGACGCCCACATGAGCGGCGTGTGGCCGGCTTTGCTCGCCAGCTCGACGTCCGCATTGGCTTCAACCAGAGCCCTCACGACTTTATGGTGGCCCGCCTTGGAGGCCGACACAAGCGGCGTGAAGCGGTCGCTGCTCCTTCCCTGGTTCACGTCGGCTCCGGCCGCTATCAGGACTTGCACCATCTCGAGGTTGCCGCTCGTGGCCGCGAGGTGGAGCGGCGCGTCGCCCAGCGCTCCCGACGTGAAGTTCACGTCCGCCCCCTTATCCAGGGCGTCCTCGGCGTTCCTGACGCTGCCCGTAGCTGCGGCAGTCCAGAGCCTCTGCGGACGGAATGGCTTCCGGTTAAACCCTTGCAGCGGCTGTAGGCCTTGGATGGAAATTGCATGGCGCAGATCCAATGTATTGAATGTAGAAAGAATTAGACTAACAGATCATGTACAATAGATGTATATTACATTTTATGTACTAAGCACATTCTTGACGCACCTGACGCTTCCTGTAGTGGCGGCCGTCCATAATCCCTATGAACGGCATGACGCCAAGTTGGACCCCTGCAGTGGCTTTGGGCCTTGCATGAAAATTCCATGATTTACATCCAATCTATTCGAGGGGATTATTAAATAAATTAGCAAATTGCGTAATGGATACTTAATAACAATAGTTAATAGATTATAATGGATAGTGCACAGATACATGTAGTAGAAGCTACTGGATAGATACATGTAATAGATATTAGATGATACTTGGTAGTACTAGACACACAACGTATATTATGAATAGAAAGTACATACTGTATAAATAAGGACTACACAATATGCTATACAATTATATTACGAATAGGTCAAGAATTCATGAACTAGACTCAATCTAAATTGTGACTGATGTTCTCCATTCGGCCAGAACTGCTGACCGGCACATTCTGTAATTCTAAACTCAACAAAAGCTGCGGGAGGTCTATGGGGCACTGCCATTCACGTGAACATGATTGAAGTTGAGCGATGCTGCATAGACATGCGATGCGCATATGCAACACATGGCTATACGGCAAACCATCTCCTTACCGTCCAGCCCGTACTGGGAGGCAGGCTGTTACTGCAGCGTGAACACAGTCTGCATTTACGTAATTTGCAACTTTACATAAAACTACGTAACTACACGCTGTGCTCGTGACCTAGATGACAAGTCTGCTGGAAGGGGTAGGAATCCAGGTGGGATTTCCTTGGCTTGGCAGGTGATACAGTTGAATTCATAAATTTCCATGATTGTTTCCATGGAAATAGACCTAGAAATTCACAAAAATCCTCTGTGCGCCAAGTTTTTCAACATAAAATTCACGTTACGTGTTTTAGTTCGCAAACAGCGCTCACCAAGCTTTCCTGAGGGTCGCCTTGTGTGCTCGGAGTGGTCGATGCATCCTGCCAACCCACGCACATGAAAGAGCGAGCTTCCTCAGCGCTTTTCAAGTAATCCCAGAGTACCCAGGTGGTCTTCTCAACTGCTTTAATCGCATAAGTCAGCACTTTGTGGGAGTTCTTTGGATATGGAGAGGGGTGTTTCTGCATTTTCAAGTAGACGAGGATCCGTGCAGCAAATTAACAACTCTGAAAAAATACCCATTCTCACCATATCGGCTCCTGAGATTTGTGTTGTGCTGAGAGTAACTGATATTCCCTGCCAAATATCTTGCGGCAGAGACGCCTTTTGAGGCACGTGGGATGCAACAAAGAGAAATTTTTACAAATAGATGCGAATATTTTCAAATAGCAAGATAAATCCTTGCACTGGAGGCAATTATACCATGGACGCATCTGGGGAGCGCAAAAATATATACTTCCTCTGTCCAAGATTAATTGTCCTCTATTTAAAAAACAGAATTCGTTACAAGGACTCTCTCAAAATTGAAAACAAGTTTCAGAAACGGAAAATTTCAATTGCAAAGCCCTTAACTACCAATTTTCAAGAATAGAAAATGAGCCACGAGCCCTTTGAGCATTAGAAGAAACGTAAATTTTGGTCATTTTTGGCCCCAAATACCGAGGTTCACTAGGTAAAAGACCACTGGTATAAAGAACTGTCAAATCCTCAATACTTAGTGAGTTGACTTGAATTTTTGATATTATGCTCCCAACTTACATGCACAACTTTGGGAGAAATTTCATTGTAAATTGATGTAAGTACAATGGAGAAGTAGTGCCCCATAGTCGTAGAGGACAATTATTCTTGGACGGAGGAAGTAAAAGCAGTGAAGTGGACATTTTTTGGCCATGGAATGCCACGATGATTTAATGCCGGAAAAACAGGCATGCCAAATTCTGCAAAATAAGACAGATTTAACGCACACTTGGGCCATCAGTTGTATCTGCATTGCCGTCTTTCACGAATACTTCCTCCGTCCCAAATTAATTGTCGTCTATTTAAAAGACAAAATTCGTTACAAAGATGGTCTCAAAATTACAAAACAAGGTAAGAATCGAAACGATTGGGTCCCAAAAACTTAAACTACCAGTTTTCAAGAAAAAATGTTTAGCCCTACCCCCTTTTAGGGGCCCCCGAAAAAGCCCTCGCCCGGTCCAAAAAATGCGCATTCACATTCCATGTCCACGGAAGATCTCCGCGCATCTGGGCTGCTCCTGTCCCTGCATGCGGCAAGGCATAGTCATTGCCACCATCACAACGAAGCACGGTGTCCATCACGTGGAAGAGAGCTTGCCAGACACGCTCAAGCGTATCTGGATCTTGATCGTAGAACGCTGTTGTCACAGAATCGACGATATCTTGGAGATCCCCACCATCCTTGATCTTCGATGCACGGACCTGCAATGAGTGAAAAAAACCAAGGTCCAAGACGTTGAAGTCCGGACTCTGGGCTGGCTGCCGCTCCACAGTAATGTTATAATTTTGCTTGGAGCATTCGGCCTCAATTGATGCTTGGATCGACGATTTGGTATGCGGCTTGGCCCCATCCACTTGGATAACAACGTGCTCTTTCAAGTGCTTGTAAGCACTTCTGACAGCGGGGAAGACTTTTTCCACCATAAGATCCCTCCACGCATCCCCATCAACTGAAACTAGCTTCAATTCTGCCTCACCTGCAGCTCGATTCTTGCTAGATCGAACCGCAACGCCCTCCTTTACAAAGGGCCATATTCCAACAAGCCCACTAAAGTGGGACCCGTTTGGCCGCCTATGGGGCCGCCCCACGGCAGCTAGAAACATGACTTTCTTTACAAAAGTCTTGCTTTGTGCTTTTGGAGCACCCACACGCCCATCCTCCGGCAGCACCCAAACTTTTTGGGCATCTTTCATCACATAAAACCATTTTTCGTCGATGTGGATCGTGTTCGCGAAATCCACAAATTGCCACTTGCGCCCAACTTTGCGCGTGTGCTCTACAATCCAGCGCAACCTTGCAACTCTCTGCTCTTGAGAAAGACAGGGCTTTATCCATCGAACTGTTCTTCTTGCCCCCAAGCCTTTCAGATTCCAGAAAATCGTCGATTTCGCCATTCCCGTCCTCAAGGCCATTGCCCGGATTGTCCAGACTGGACATTTTGCACGAAAGTCAGTTCAGTGCCTAGCCGGGCTGATGCTCAACACCTTCTCTTGCACCTCTTTGCAAGTCTTGGGGGGCCTCCCGCAGTTGGCTCGATGGTGGCGATGGAGATCCAAAGCGCCTAGCTTGGAGATCTGGGTCCGAAATGCTCTTCCGATTCGTTGGATCGTTCTCGCATCGTAGCCATACTCCACGGCCAGTTCGTCGATCAGGCCCTTGGGAGCCCGTTTTCTATCGCCCTGCCTCTTCATAAGGACCGCCCCCACCTTCAGTCTAAGTGGCGTGGCCAGTTCTTTATAGGCGGCCTTGCTTCGCCGCCGCGAAGGCGTGCCCCTCACCATCGCGAAAAACTGGCCATTCGCGCCGCGAGGCCCCAAACCGGCCGTTTTCTGGCTGGAGACCCCTTGCTACAAAGTACTGCCAAATCCTCAATACTTAATGGATTAGCTTGAAATTTTGACAGCATACTCCCAAGACACAAGCACAACTATGGACAATTTTTTGTCAAAAACTGGCATAGGTAACATGGAAAAATGGTGCCCCGAATTCATAGACGACAATTAATTTGGGACGGAGGAAGTAAAACAAAGCAGGAAGCAAAATTACCCACAAATCGAAGGCCTTACTATTCACTGCGGAGTGGCTCCCAGGTAAGATTCCCTGCCATCTCCCATACAAGATACAACAAAATGTAAAAGGACAACTAGTAAAAGAAGCAAAACGAGCTGGGGTCTCTGCAGCTGGCTGTTGGGAGGAGCGTTTGAAAATCACGGATGGAGTTGGGCCCATCCATCCTTGCGAATGAATTACTCAACTCTCGGATGAACGGAACGTCCTTTCGCGAAGGAGCATTGCGAAATTTCGCAGACCGACGATAGGCTCACGAATTAATTCGTAATTAAATTAAATTTAATTAGATTAATTTACCAAGACAGGTGTTATCACTCCTCTGTTTCTTTTCTCTAATTCACGGACGAACCGTCTCTCCTCTCATTTCATATGAGCAATCGATATCAAACCGCTAACGTTTTAATTTCTATCGAGGACACCCACCGCTACTGCCGTTGGGCTTAGCGAAGGAAGGACGGGATCCTTCACCTGCGGAGAAGTTGAGGCGGATGGAGTTGCTTCGATTAAGGTGGCAGCAGGAGTAGGGGTGACCTGCTTGCACACAAAACGTGACTGTTAGGGCGCTCCCGATGTGCCTATTTGCACAATTGAAACAATTTCTATACTGTCCGTTTTGCAGTTTTGGCACTGTGGTCTGTGTTAGAGCCCCTTGGAAACGGATTTCGGGGACAGCAGCAACCAACTTCGACGACCATCTGGGGTTGAATCGCATTCTGTCCCCCCACATTGCAGTTCCTGGCGTACCCGCTACATTTCGCACTTTATAACAACGACATGTTGTCGCACAATGCTGCATAGCATTGTGTAACATTGCAACATTGCACGCATTGCATTGTATGTGGCATTGCTGTGAAAATAGCAAGCTAATTAACTTATTGTCCCACCAATAAATTTTCAAGCAGGGGGGGCTTGCCTTGGCGGCTGCGCCGTCGGTCTCTATAATCTCTTCGATCCACAAATGGAACGCCGCCACTTGCGCATACACGCCTGGCTTTGAGCCAGTCTCGCAGTCCTTCTCTCCAAATGAAGTGATGCCCACGAGGATGTCCAACTGAGGCCGACCGTTCGAAGTGTTGCTGCCAGGCGCGTTGGCAATCAGTAGGGGACCACCGCTGTCGCCTGTAGGAGAGCGCCAACCAAAACAGTATTTGTAGCATGGAAAATTTGCGCGATGTTTGCTGCATAAGAAAAACACAGTCGCATAGGATAATATGCAGAATTGGGGATTCAATGTGTGTTAGCGCGCTGGTATGTGGTAGCCACTGTTTGGCGTTTGAAAATCTCCAAATCCGACTGAGTCAGTTGCAACAAGAATTGATAGTAGATTGTTTCAGTCATTTGGAAGAATGCTGCTCCGTCTCAACCTATTGCATGCGATGATTTTGGAGCAAAAGTCCTTCATCATACGAGCCAATGCTCTCGGCAAGATAGGTTTCAAAATTTTGCCCATGTTTTTGACTGCAAAGTCGACATATTGTGATGATATTTTGCATGGGATCAACACACCGTTTTAAGTGTCCACATGCCAGAAATTTAGAATTCTCAACACTGGCGCACAAACGGCTGTCTTCTGCGATAGTGGGACCACCCTGAGCGGCAACAAAAGAAAGCCTCCTGTGCAGAAGAGCTCAATGCTATCCACGACGCGCAGACACAAGATCGACGCGGCTATCATGAAACAAAGGAGGTGGGTGATGGTGGGTGGGGGATGGGGGGGTGGGGGTGGGGGTGGGGGGTGGGGGGGTGGGGTGGGGGTGGGGTGGGGGTGGGGGGGGTGGGGGGTGGGGGGTGGGGGGTGGGGGGTGGGGGGTGGGGGTGGGGGCGGGGGGGCGTGGGGGGCGGGGGTGGGGGGTGGGGTGGGCTAACAAAGACGTCACGAAGGGCCTGATGATAGGCATTCGGCGCGGCTGAGGCCTGCAATCACTAGGAAAAAAGGGCCAAATAACGCTTTTGCGAAAACACATAAACACATTAACACATTTTATCAAATTTCTGCATGCTAATAACACAAAAAACACAAACCCGTAAAGTTTGTACACGTTTGAACACGTGCTATTTGGCCCTTTTTTCCTAATGAATGAAAGATCGATTAGACGGACTGGATATGTCTTTCATGACATGGTTCCTTGAGCCAGTACTTGGGGTCTCTAATGCGGACATCTGGACAACCTCGGACAAGTCCCAAGGAATTCAAAGAAGCGAGAGAGAAAGTGACTGCCATTACCTGAGCGAGCCGGCACTATCAAGAAATGACAGTACGTCTAGTTTGCGCCCCATCCTGGCTTCTGGGAAAACATCAAAAGTATAAAACGATATCACAAGAGTGTCAAAAGTTCCAAAAACATATCAGAAAATAGGATATATCAAAAATCATAAAACTATCAAAAATCTATCAGAAACACTACTTGTGCAATTTTCCAGTATGCAAGCACAATAATCTGCGTACGGCGCTCCTCGTGTGCCCACTCCACTTACCTTTGCACGTTCCCTGTCCTCTGAACTCCCCCGTCCCCGCCGCGCACATCATAGTGCCGTCGATGCGGTCATCCCAAAACCCGTTGCACACGTCGTTGGGGACGAACAGCAGCTCGCCGGCCTCCTGCAGACGCTCAGGGGGTAGGGCATCAGGCACGAGGCCCCATCCCAGGGCGACCAATATGTTTCCAACGCCCAGCCGGGGCCCGTTCTGGCTGATGGGAGGGAGCGATATGGGCGTCTTTTCAGTTGGCTCCTTCAAACGAATCATCGCGATGTCGTAACCGCCTTGAACCTCGCCTGTGAAGTTCGTGTGGGTGATTATCTCCTTGGGCACTGAGACCTGGGTGGCAGGATCCAAGGGTTGGATCGTATCTACTGGACAACGCATGAGGTCCGAACGGCAATGCACCCAGCCCTTGGCACTTACCATGCGTCAGGTGCTGAAACAGGAAGAGAGTCTCAATGAGAGGGAGCACCGGCGTCTAAAGCCTGAATGCTGCTAGGTACTATCAAGCGCTGCTCACGAGCTTGTGATAGCAGAGCAATGAGGGTGGCTGAAGGAAATTTTGAGCTCGTCGCTGGCCTTCGACAACAAAACCATATTTGACCAGCGCTTGTGTACGGCACGGTACTTTGCAATTTTATCGGCATCTAATTCGCTCCAAACGGTGTTATAGACCACATTAATTATCCTATTGTTCGTATCACTTCATTTACACTACTCATGGTGCCACAATCAGGTGAATTACTTTCCACAAGACAGACTCTGTGGTTTTGCAACTGATGTCCGACCAGCACCGCGCCGCACTTGTGTGCGCTGGCACTGTCGCGCAGGGACGCCATGTAGGGATACCGACCGCATGGAGCATCCCTTCCCTGCGCCACAATCGTCCACTGGGGATGTCACTGAATACTCTGCTGAAATTGGCATCAAAAATGCATTCAACCGGCGCAGCAACGAACTGAACCACTTAGCTCTGTGCGGTGTAATGTGCTTTGATGAATTAAATTGAAGTTCATGTCACTTTGTTTCATTTTACTGTATGGTGTGATTTAATACTGTACGGGACCACGGTTATGCTTCTAGTGGTAATAATTTTGAGTATATAGTAATAATATACTAATAATCTCCCGTTCGGACATATGTAAATTACGAGCAAATAACTATACCTGCGCCTTGCACCAATTGTTGGTGAGCCCTAGCTTGGATTCGTGCTCACGCAATTGAACCGCTTTCAAGTTTCTGGTGGCGGTTACAGGCTGCCTTGGATGTGCAACTATTCCATAAGTCATTAATCTTGCCCTAGTGCTCACAACCAGTCTCTCATCAGCCCTCCTTCAGATTTCTGATCTCTATGGGATTTCATCTCATGGGCTGCTTGAGACCACCACCTCGCAGTCCGGGGGCGCTCGATTTGATCTCCAGAGTACAACTGAGTTAATCAAATCAATGTTCATTAATTGGAGGGACATAACTCCTTACATTTTGTAGTGCTACAGGTAGATATTATTTTGCCATGTTATACTACTTGTGGACTGAACGAAGTTGTTCACTTCATAATGCGCGGTAATTGCCACGGGCTCCATGAGTCCCAACGGTGCCTTGGGGTGGGTGGAGACAAAGGAGAAGGTGAATGTTGCACTGCGCAAGCACACATTCATTTGATGCTGCGATATGTGGCCTCAAAAGAGTGTTTTGAGCTATCTAGAGTAATTTTGACCTGAAGCGCAGACGCAAAACGCTCAACCGTTTTGCTAGCGAAGCCTAGTTAGTTGAAGATTGATTGATTCATTGACTATTCAATCTGTTTATTTATTTATTTACTAAGTGATCAGATGACTGGCTAGCGTAGACTATGCACCACAGAGACTGGAACCTGAGTGGGCCCAATTTGTCGTTTGTATACTTCCTACTGAATGCCGCGACAGTGCGCCACGCAACCGGCAATCGCAAGTGCTACCGCATTGATCCAAGTCTGCAAGAGAAACTGAACGCCCTTAGACAACCCGAAATGCCAGGGCGCTGTTCAGAAAACGCTATTTTGCAAATCATGCAGCCGCACCGATGATATTTTGGCTACGCCTTCCCCAGTGTCCAAGATTTTTCTCCTCGTTAGAGGCTCCTCGGCGCCCACGGGGTCGTGAAGACGATCTGCATCATCGACACCACGCCGCCTAAACTCAAAAGCCAGAATTCAAACCCGCTGTTACGTGATGGCCCAATGCAAGATGGGATAAATCAGCAGACTCTTATTACTTGTTGCACATGCGCCGGGTATTGGAAGGGTGTCCGTATCGTGGTCATGACAAATGGAACAACACTGCGGCTTGAAACAATTGACCGCATGCGCTGTCTACCAGCAGGCATTTGCTGTATTGGCAAGTTGCCAACTGCCTTCAAATGAAAAAATCTATACACTCAGCCTTTCCTCCAACTGAATGTTCTTCTACCAATTCCAATTTTCTATCCCTATTTCCATATGTTCTTTATCCACTCCTTTTGGAAGAATTTCAAGTGCTCGAAGTACCCAGAAAAGATCACGCAAAAAAAAACGCGGCTTCCACAGCGTAGACCTTTTCATGGTAGGAGCAGCATTGGTATCTTATATTCGAGGTATATCGTTATTGGAAATGGTACTAAATATATAATTTCTGAAAGCATTTTACAGGCAAATGTCTTGGCTATTCGGCATTGTCTGAAAGCAGACATAAGCTGTGCGCTTAATTTCTCATTGAAATTCACAGTGCAAATCGATGGCCAATAGAAGTGTAACAGGCTTGCTGGGAAGGACGACATACGAAGGCGTTCAACAACTGTGTCTCCAGGACTTTCCCTGCCTGCTTTTGCTTCTGTCTGATGCATGTACTTTGTTGCACAGGCTTGTATGCACCAAAATTTGCAATGTGCTGCAGCAGAATTTTCATGGCACAAAGTGGGACTTCTCTTTTCATTCCATTCTTCTTTAGAAACAGTTGTGCAGTTGTTGACGAGGCTTACATTCTAGGTACATTCCAGATACATTCTAGACACGTTCCAGACAGATTCTAAACTTGGCATATTTTGGACGTTGGAGATTCACCAGCACACGATGGAGACATAGAGTAGTCCATGTCTATGGCGCTGTACAATCTGACCAAAGGGGCAGCATCAACCCCAAGTGCAGACAGCAGCAGTGCTAGAGTAAGAGGCATTCACACATAACAAAAGACAGGACTGCAAATTTAGGGGTATTTCAAACAATGCCTGTTGGATGGCAAGGGCTATGCAACAGGATGCCACCGTGTGCATCAGACTCGAGTGTGTTTGGTTGCACTGCCTCCGGAATCGTAGTGCGCCAGACACTCTTTTGCAATGCATGGCTGTCGGTGTGAATGCCAAGCAACATGCCAGTGTCTGACCACCGCAATTGGCAACACTGTTTCTATCAGCTCAACCAGAGTGAAGCTCCATTCCAAAGATGTCAGCTGATTACCTGCCACACTGCCTACCACCGGCAACCAAGCACACATATTGATAAATATTCACAAACAGGGAAATCTTTCTGGGACAAAGTCTGCGAAGGCTGGCACTGCCCGCTAGCTTCACAGTCAAGCAGGTGAATGAAGCTGAAGTTGAATGAGCAATGTCTTGTCATTAGGCACTGCGAAAGAAACAGAATCCATCCCGGAGAGTGTGGACATGAGCAGGCGCACACCCGACGCGCTGCTCGCGGCGTGCCCGGCCATCCGGCGAACCCGGCCCCGGGTGCCCCGCCTTGCCACCACCCCAGGCCCCTGAACAAAATGCACATGTCCCTCCCGCGGATCGACAATGCCACCAATACGCTCGTCTGACTCGCTGTGGCGCGCACAGTTCCGCGAAAACCGCCAAAGTGCGGCTCACTGCGCTGACCTCCCACCTCGAGCGCCGTCCGCGCTTCTCGCGCAGGTCAAGGCAAGAAGGGCCAGAAGTACAGAGGTACTCGGCGCTGCTCCCCCCTTCATCCTGCATTCGCACCCACATGCACATCACCCTCCGCCCAGTGGCTTCAATCAGAGCCACAGAGCGGGGCGTCACCTCCAGAGGAAGGAGAGAAAGGGCGGCCCGTTGGCCGACCGGGTTCACGTATTCCGAGTCCCAGGCTCTGACGCTTCATGCCATCAGGGGGATTTTGGACAGGTGAGCACCTCGGAACTTGTCAGAGCCGGCGAACGTACAGCGTCTGTCGCAGCCCGCACCCGCCGTCGTCGTTGGCGCCGCTTCTCTGATGCTTTCGGCCGACGACCTGCGGGACAGTGCCGTGTCCAGAGCCAGCAAGGGGCCAGGGACATTGCTTACAAGCCAAACACATGCGTACCTCCGCTTCATGTCACATCCGATGATGTGACCAATCAAGGGTGATGTGACGGCAATGGGGACGTGCTCATCCACTCCCAGCGGATGATGGCGGGATGGAGGCATGAGCGTACAGCGCACGTGGCGCCTTGTGCAGAATATCGGCGGTGCCCTCCGCTCTGTTTTTCCAGCTCGCCCCGGTACCTTCGACCGGCTTCCTCACTGTACGCTTCTTCGGGAAGTTCGCAGTGAACTGGCGGCTCTGTGTAATCTCCTTGTGTGTCTCATGTGTGATGTTGCTTCGCGATTTGTTTGATCGGTTCTGGTCAGCGCGTTGAGTCTCGCAAGAGGTCGATGTTGCTCGAGGAAAGGGGCGCAAAAGTGTGAAAATTCCCATGATAAGGCCCACGGGAATGTCCGCTTTGCATCCTGTCATAATGGCTGTCGCCGCTGTCGCCTGCATGCTGCAGCTTGCATCTTGAAGTGCTCTATTTGTAACAGCTTTGCCGGTGCTAGTTTTCCTCTCTGACTGTCTATCGACACTATTGCTTCAAAGAAAGTTGCAAGACGAGGAGATTACCTGTGGGAATGCACTGGTCAGAAAAGGCGCCAAAAGCGATTAGGATTGTACCCTTTGGGATTCCGAAACAATGCAATTGCAAATATGTATTCGAATATTCGTCCGCTACAAAATAGCACACATTGCGAATATGCAGTTTTCAACAATTCAACATGATCAACAACGGAAGTCATTTGTTTTGTAAGGTCAAATTGTATGCGAATGTAGATATTAAGCCTTGTCCAAGCCAATGACCAGCCTTGCCCTTACTCGACGGAGGAAGACCCTAGTTCACATTGAGGTTCATTCTAGGCGACCTTTTTCACCTCGCTCTTAAATCGTGCCATACATTTGATAGTCTTGTATCAGCGATGCGGCCGGTGTAGAACTTGACCATGTCGCGTCGCCTTCAGCATTTTGCGTGGATGTTCACCGTTGGAAGTTATACAGAATTGACACGTAAATGGAGACTAAAACGGAGAAGAATAGGAGAATGACAAAAACTCTAGGAGAATTCCTTTACGCTATCAGTAATTGTGGTACCTTGAATACTGGA